TAAGTCGAGCCCACCGCCTCTCCACTGCTGTCTCACGGAAAAACTCCATATCGCCCTCCTCCATGTAGACGCTTGTGCCGGGCCATACGGTTGAGAAGGGCAGCCGCCTCGTCCCCCCACCGTCCGTAGCTCTCCGCCGACAGTGGGACGATGGTGAAGTTGCTTGCTCTCGCCTCTGTGCCGTACTTGCTGTGCTTCCTGTCGGCCGCGTCGCGCAGCGCCTTGCCGTCTTCTGCTCCGTTCTGTCTGTTGGTGGCCGCGTGGTGTCTGTTGGTGAAGGGATCGGGGCGTGTGGGGTGGGCGATGGTGACGTCGCCGAGCATGCCTTTTCCCTCCTCCACCCAGTAGAGGTCGATCCGTTTGCCGTCTGGATCGTCGGTGGCCGGGTAGACGCCCAGATGCGCCAGGTTGACCTCTCGGTCGACGGCGATCTGGACGCTCCTGATGATGCGTCGCCACTCCTCGCACAGCAGGTCGTGCCGCCAGATGCGCTCATTGCCTGTGCGCAGCAAAAGAGGTGGTCGCTGTAGGGGTCCAGCTGGGTGCCGCACGAGCAGAAGTCCGATGCGAGTGAAGGGTGTTGGGTGGCGCCGATCCTCAGACGGCAGCAGGTGACGAAATCCTCGTTGGTGAAGCGCAGGCCCGGGTGCGCCGGGACCGTCGTCAGCCAGCCGCTAGCTCCTGGGCCTCGACAGCTTCTCAGCCATGCGCGGTCTCTTGAATCCTCGCCGAACTCGTCCAGCACGGCGTCTGCTTCGATGCGCATCAGGCCGGCCGTCAGGTCGTGTTGTAGCCGTGGCTTTGTGCGTCCCTCAAGCAGCTTGGCCAGTGTGGGCACCTCCGTCTTCGGCAGCTTCTCTTGTAGCTTCTCTCTTGCCGACTCCGCTACCCGTAGCCATGGCAGCTGCAGTAGTGCTGCCGCTCCGTCCCCCCCTCCCTCCCCCCCTCCCTCCCCCTGTGGCATCCATGGCGCCAGCTGGTAGTGTCTCCACACGTATGGCAGCGTCATAGCGGTGCAGCCGAGATATGCCGCCGGCAGGATGGCGCTCGCCGCCGTAATGCCCATTCCCCCCTCTCTCACTGGTAGCGCCATCTGTCGTCGCTGCAACTCGGTGGTGTCCTCCTCTCCCCCGTGGATGGCGATGAGTGAATTCATGATCCCTCAGTGGCGCCGTGACCTCGGTGGTTGAAGGGCGCTGGGGAAGGAGACGAAGCCAGTAATACAGCCGTGGGACTGCGCAAGAGCGGAAGAGGAGCGATGAGTCCTGCCGCTGCTCGTTTGCAAACGCCTTGAGTCGTTCGATGAGGGGGCGGTGGGAGTCGAAGACGCTCTGCAGCTTGTTAGCGACGTAGCTGTCTGTCCCTCTTGCCCCGCCCAGGATGTCAATGCCCTCACCCGAGAGCCCCTCCCTCTCAAAGCCAGGCAGCAGGTCGTCCGGTGGTGGCTCGCTGTCCGTCCAGTGGGGGCCGTACGCCTTGCTCTTCTTCCTGGCCAGCTTGAGGCTGATAGTCTGCAGCTCTTCCTCCGCCTTGTCCACCACCCCGTCTGCCTCGCTCTCGTCGACCCCCGGTGTGATGTCGTCCATGAAGGCTTGTATGAGGGCGCGTGGAAAGCTGGCTTGAATGGCCTTGAGTACTGGCTGGAGGGCCAGACAGAAGAGGAAGGGGCCGGCCGGGTCTCCTTGCTGAGTGCCTTGCTGGCTTAGGATGGTCCTCACTCTGCCGTCTGCGAGTCGATACCACAGCTCCGCCGGCTCTCCATAGAACTGCCAGAGAAAGTGAAAGAGCTCGGGGAACTGGCTGGCGAGCTCGTTGACGATCGCCTGACGGTCCACCTCGTTGAAGGCGTTCGTGCAATCCAGCGTCGTGAGCAGTCGCTTTTCGCTCTCCCTCCGGCTCTGGATGAATGTCTCGGCGGCCTTAAAGAGCTTCTCGTTGCCCGCTGGGGTGCCGACTGCGCACTGGAGAGGGGCGAAGTAGGCGGCCATCTTGTTTTTGTGCTGCATGCACACTGCTCTCGTCACCCATC